CTTCAATACTACTGAACTGAGGCTCATGTATTTTACATCATTATAAAGGAAATTGAAAGACCTTTAAAATAAGGTATCACTCGACCCCCCTTTCCATTTAAGATTTTAGGGTTGGTGTCACCCCCGCCCAGGAGGCTGCACGTGTTAACGTGATTTTTTGCCAATCTTGTGTCCCCCTCGAAAACAAAATCGACGGGGCTGAGCGTTTAAAAAAAAAACTGAGCTGCCAGTAAATGCGTCTGTTTCGTTTTCGATGCGCCACCCTGTATATATATATATATATAATATATATATATACCTAAATATTTAATTGCTTCAACATTTTCAATAATTTCACCATTTATTATTTAACTGTGATAGTATGTTCATTTAGGTATCTCCCTATTACCATACATTTTATTTTAGAATCATTCGATTTGAGTTTATTTACATTTAAACTAATTTATGATTTTTTCCAAGTCTGAATATGTCATTAATATATAAAATAAATAGTAGTGAACCTAGTTTACTACCTTGTGGTACACCAACAAAAATATTTTTTGAGATTGATAATATAAATCCAATTTTGTTTTTTTTTGACTTCTGTCAATTAAGTAGCTTTGCAGAATTTTGTATACAGATCCTTTAAATCCATAGTGCTGCAATTTTGTAAATAATTTATCCCTGTCAATAGTTCCATACTCTATAGTTTGTTACAGTATTCATCTGTTGGAATATCCAATTAAATATTAAACATTCCATTTAAGCCAAATGTCAGAAACTGACATTTTTTAAACAGAATCTCCTATATTTCGTTGCACTTTCAGATAGACCCTTCCATAAGAAGATTTATACGGCATGCTATATGCTTTTGATGATTGAGTTATGAGTAAATCAAAGTACAAACATGCTCAACTTTGCCAGTCCTCCATTTTGAAAGATAGCAAATTTATATTCTATGGTTAAAAAATGTAGATAAGGAGCTTCCAAATGAGATACCACACGACCCCGAACTCTATTTAAAAACATTCCAAAATAAAATTAAGTTTCATCATCCCAAATTTTAATTTAACTTGTATCCTTCAAAAAATAAGTAAGGGGGGTTTTTGGAAAGCACTGTATCTGAACTAGATCCATATTATTTTATTTTGATGACACCAAACCATTACGGATTCTATTGATTTCAATTATCACTTAACACTATACATATTGTTATCCTAGTCAAACTCAACGTTTTCCTAGAGCGTGTATTCCGCAGAGGAACTAAAATGGGATGTTGTTATGCATTTTAAAGTAGTTCCAACGTTTATAATTCAAACGGCAATTTCCAGGTTGGTATTTAGCCAATTTGTAAAGAAAAGTGGATAATATCGCATTTGCAAGTATAATGCCGGAATGTGTTAAGTTATATTAATCATCGGCTTGTGAAATGATGAATGTTCAAGGGAAAACATAAATATACAGTCCGCGAAAGTTTTGGCCTAAGAAACAAGTTAAAAGAGGGCGTCAAGTAGATTGACTATACTTCCTATCCTTTAGTAGGAAGTTTCAAAGAAAAGGGACGAGTCGAATCGTTTCAAAAGGCGAAATCGAATCGAGATTATTTAGGATCACTTAGGTACGATGAATCTTCGACTGCTGCATATCAAACTCTATAAAGCAAATGTATCATATGTGGGTGACTGGTAAATAGGTGTAAAACATTTTAGGAGGTGATAGTACAGCCCCTTTGATATCGAAATTAGTATATAATACCCTATATTCAAAGGTTGAAAAGTTATTGAAGATTTAAGATTTTTTTAAAAACAATCCATATTTCAGAGTAAAAAAGTCGAGAGAGAAAAAAGTTGCGATTAAACATTTGTTTTTTGTGGTTTTGGGTTATTATTTCAATAATTAACTATTATAAATTAAAAAAAGATTCGAAAACAATACCAATCAACGTATTTATTTTCATTCAAAAATGTTTAACTAAGAAAAACAAATAACGTTTTACAGTAAGTAGGGTGTTTTACAAAAAAATCAGTATACAAAAAAACGTACAAACAATTTAAATAATATCCTTGTTTCATAAGGAATCTAAATTGGTATGATAAGTACACAAACACTGTGTGAAACTAAACATAATGTATTGTAATACAACACTAGGGAGTAAATTTACCAATGGCTTGTCTTCTATTTTCACAACTCTCTGATTGATAAGAAAGTGTTTTTGTGAAAATAATGTAACTGTAAGCTATGGGATAGTTATTATTTTAAACTACGGTTAAGTTACACGATTAGATTATTTACACAGTTGTAGTTGTACTACAGAATAATAAAAACTGACTAAAAATTACTACAATTGGTAAGTAAAATACAATAATGAAATGAAGGTAAAATTCATTGAAATTGTTGTTCGAACTGACGCCCGCCGTTTCTTATGCAAGCCCGTAGTATTTTTCTCATGTTGGTACGCGTGATGCGGCCAGTTAGTTGTCCTCTGATAGTGTCAGCAGCAGCAATAATTCTTTCTTTCAACTGTGCAAGAGTGTCTATGGGCTCAGCGTATACCAGTGACTTCATGTGCCCCCATAAATAATAGTCACACGGTGTTAAATCTGGGCTCCTTGCTGGCCCCGGTGTCGGTCCACCTCGGCCAATCCAGCGACAAGGATATTTCTCGTCCAGCCACTGTCTAACACCCAGACGGAAATGCGCGGGACAGCCATCGTGTTGGTAGATCATCTGCATCCTGATATTCAGAGGCAGGTCTTCGAGATACTCCCAGAGTTCGGATCTCAAAAAGTGTTCATAGGATTCGCCATTCAGGTTGTCAGGCAAAAAAACTGTTGCAATTAGATACGTATGAATGATTCCCATCCACACGTTTGCCGAAAATCTTCTTTGATGGGCTCTTGGCTTTGCCATGTGGGGATTTGCCTCTCGTGGGGCCCAATAATGTAAGTTGTGATAATTTGTTGTCCCCTCTCTGTCAAACTTAGACTCGTCGGTCCACAATATTTTAGTTAAATAGTCGTTTTCTTCTTGATCCCGATGAAGCATGTATCGAGAAAAATCAATTCTTCTTGCGGGATCTCCTTCTTCTAATACTTGAACCGGTGTGTAATGGAAAGGGTCTCGCCGAATGCAAAACGAACCAAACTTTCCACTGAGTTAAACCAAGCTGCTTTGCTATAACTCGTGTAGACGTCGTCGGGTCTCTGCCGTAGCATTCCAGTATTGCCTCTCGATCTTCATCGTCAAACAACCGATGTCTACCAGCATCATGACGTCTCTCATGAACCTGTCCACTTTCCTTGACGCGTTGGTACACAGAAGCAAATACTCGATGTCTCGGTATTCGCCGATTCGGAAAACGGTTTTCGTATTCTCGCCTGGCTTCAACGGAATTCCATCATTTAAACCATTAACAAAACAGAATATCAACGTATTCTTCGTTACGGTAACTCGCCATTATTAAAACTGATCAAAAAAGTAAAAGTACGTCCTACCGCGTTAAAGGTTGATATTCTACTAACCTAAGCGTTAGTTCCCTTTCCTTGATCCGTCAGCTGTGTCAATTCATAACACACGCAGAGCTTGCTTCCGAGGAGCGACGACAGATTACTTAAATACTTAAACCCGAATAACGGCTCGGTTTACCTGCTCAGTACAATGAAATGCGCTTAGCGGTCCTTTCTAGCAAAGTAATATTGTTTTGTTAAATGGTTTACTTACTGATATGTTATTATACCATTTTAGAAACCTATTGAAACGAGGAAGTTTTTGCAGTTATTTGTACATTGTCTTTATTATGATTTTTTTGAAAAAAAAGACTTCTTAATGTGAAAGTTGAAAAAAAAAATTTCATGTAACACTCAAATGAAAATAAATACGTTTTCAGTAGTGTTTTCATATGTTTTTTAATTTATGAGAATTATTTATTTAAATAATAACCTGAAACCACCAAAAAAAGAATGTTTAATCACCAACTTTGTTTTATCTCAACTGTTTTACTCTGTAATCTGGGTTGTTTTTAAAAAAAATTAAATCTTCCATAACTTTTTAACCTTTGAATATAGGGTATGGTATTATATACTAATTTTGATAGCAAAGGAGCTGTACTATCACCTCCTAAAATGTTTTACACCTATTTACCTGTCACCCTGTATGTGTGATTTATGTCTAACAGGTGAATAATACCACTGAGATCCCCAGCTTCTTAATAATAGGTTTTTCACTGACACCAAATATGCAACAATTTACAACTAATTTCCGCATACAGCTTGCAACTACAATTTCCATCCCATCCAATCAATGCCTGAAAATGAGCAGGAATCTTAGAAACGTTGTAGCACTACAGCGACTTATTTCCGCCGTCTCTGAATCAATTTACAAAATCTATGACTGCGTAAACAATGGAAGTATTAAACTCGCGATGATACTCGAACTTCGGTTCACAAGTTTTCTGTTGCTTAGAGATTCTGCATCACGTGTTTCTGATTTATGTCGGTTTGTCGGCCCGTGCCTGTTGTATATTAATGCGTCATACGTACCGAGTCAATCTACTTCAAGAAATAATCTGAGAACCATCGTATACGGAGTAACTAATTAAAGGTTAGGTGAAATGTGTGGTTCATTTAAGCATAATAAAATTCAGAAAACATACAGCAAGGTAACCCAGTTCAAATTTGTTTAAACATTTTGACAATAAATTACAATGTTTTTTGACCGGCCATTTTGTTTCACATTTTCTAGACCATTCTGAACAAAAAAAATACCTCCAGTAACTTTTTCCTAAAGTTTTTCAAGTTCAACGCGATTTAATGTCTGAAGACACCCTAGAATGGGTTTATTTTAATGCCCTTTTTTGGCTAAAATTGACAAACTTTTAATTTTTGATTGTTGTTAAAGCTATAAAAGGAGCTAAGTAGGTCGGCTCATTGAAGCTTTGTAATCTATCTATGTCCCTAACGGATGAAGCCCAACTTTCGCATCAATTAAAAATAGAATCTAGAAAATAAAACATTGCTACTGACCTGTTGGTCGAACACCACAGCACTTTTGAAGGCTTTGCGCATATGTATGTCCTGTAAAGAAACCTCTTCCACATTGCTGTCCAACTGAGTAACTTTGATAGCCAATCTGTCTATCCGAGCTTGAAGAGAATTCGATCTGTCGTATAACTGCTGAGCATCTCGGGCCAATTCTCCAAACATATCCTCGGCGTGTCTAAGCAAACAAAAAAAGAATTGAGTAAATTAACTTGGTAAATTCTTATTCTACTTTCAAGGGACAATGTTGACTCTGTGCGTGATTTTTGTTGCCCATCAGCATTGATTATAATATTTTACCTGAAGATAGCCAACCATATACCATAAGAAATGGATCTGAAAGCCCTAGCGAAATCTGTGAGGCAGAACAAAAAAATGAATTTAGAAGAGTCTGATAAAGTTTTTGATTATACTAGTATCATATATAGCGCTAGGGTCATCAATACCTTTTCACCGTTTCTCTGGGTGCGTTCGTTTTTTTACCCCGTGTGTCTGGAGCTCAAAGGTTTCATCCTTTTTTGACATCGGACAATGCTCTTTCGTGTTCGTGTTACAGCAGAAGAGCATGCTCGATGAGCGTCACAGGACCTTACTTTTCTGTTTCACTTTACTGTTCTAATGTTTTGCTGAATGTAAGCACCCTCAAGGGCTAACTTCTCCTATCAAGTTCATCGCTCATAAAAGTAAAGTGCGATCAAATCTTGGACAATCAAACTGACAGCTTGTACCTTTATCGAATATCAATACAAAAGTACCGCTGAGAGTGAATCATATGCACTCTACGTACTTCAATGTCTTGTTTTGCAGAACTAATATCGGTTTAAACTCTCTATTGGTACGCATTCAAAGAAATATCAACCCTGGTAAATTTGTTGATATTTTTGCTTAAGAATTGTAAGTTGAAATATAAGTGACATATAAATCTGAACACCCAGTTTAAATGGTTTTATTTTAATAAAAGTTGGTGAATGTATTTATCTTACTGTAAATAACAAGTGAAAAAATTTTGGACATTCCAGTTTTTATACTGCTTTTTTTTAATTCACTAACGCTCTAAAAATGAATATTTCAGCCGCAGTAAAGAATCAACGTTGGCGGATTACGATGCCTAGAGTACGGAGACCTGTACGATTTCGTCAACTTAGTGAGTTTGATAGGGGCCGTATAGTGGGACTTCGGGAAGCTGGACTTTCTTTTCGGGCAATTGCAGTTAGAGTGCAAAGAAGTGTCGCCGCCGTAGAACAACAGACCGTGAAGATCGCCGCCTAAGATTATTGGCCTTAAGGGGCCGTTTCTCCACTACCAGGTCCATTGCAAATGAATGGTTTGCAGAACACGGAAGACCTATTGGCATGCGAAGTGTTTACCGACGAATGAGAAGTTTTGGCTTGTTTTCATACCGGCCACACTGGGTCCTCCCTTTAACTCGAGAACACCGACGTAATCGCCTTGAGTGGTGCAGACAACGGTCACTCTGGGATCAGGAATGGAACAGTATTGTCTTTAGTGACGAGTCTCGATTTTGTTTAGGCATGCACGATGGTCGTGCCAGGGTTAGAAGGCGACGTGGTGAAAGGAGGTATCCACAGTTTTTTGTTGAAAGACATGTTCATCACACTGTTGGAGTTATGGTTTGGGATGCTATAGCTTATGGTTCCAGGTCACCTTTAATCTTCATCAGAGGTAACATGAACGCGCAGCGTTATATCCACGAAGTTCTAGAACCCCATCTTTTACCCTATCTTGACACACTGGCAGATCCAACTTTCCAACAAGATAATGCCCGACCACATGTTGCAAGAGTCACAATAGACTTCTTTCAACATAATGATGTCACATTGTTACCATGGCCACCAAGATCTCCCGACTTATCCCCAATTGAGCACGTGTGGGATACGATGGGTAGGAGATTGCTCAATTTGCAACGTCCTCCTCAGACTGTAGAAGCACTTCGAGAGAAGTTGGTGGTTGCCTGGAATGAGATACCACAGGAGGACATTGACCACCTGATCAGAAGCATGCGTAGGCGCGTTGGAGAATGCGTAGCACATCAGGGTGCATCCACACATTATTAAAGGTCAAAGGGCTTTAAAGCAGTGCAATCATTTTGAAATTTTTATCATTTACTTATTATGCTTCATTAAGTACTTATACAAAATTTTATTAAAATAAAACCATTTAAACTGGGTGTTCGGATTTATATGTCACTTAGTATACTTAAAAAACAGGATGTTGGTCGCTACGTGCTAAGCGACGTTCCTCTTTTCTAATTATCTTGATTATTACTGAGGTACATATTTATACGATTGTATTTTCATATACATATACAGGGTGGCACAACGAAAAGGTCGCACCCCTATTTGTGACTCTTCTGGTACGTTTTGGGAAAAACGCTCAGACAAGTCAATTTTGATTTCTAGGAGGACGTCTATAGCCGTACAATGCAGGGTGATCCAAAAATTAGATATTTAGTTACACTTTAGATTATTTGCTATAAAGAGGTATGTCAATGAGGTCATAAGTGCTGAAAGTGGTGTCTACTTACCTCCATACAATAATAAAGATTTTGTTCGAATCTATCCCTCCTTGAAGCATGACTTGAGTTATTTGTCTACATTCAGCCGTAATCCGCTGACGAAGATCTTGAATGGAATCTAACTTTGTACTAAAAACTTTACTTTTCAAATGCCCCCAAAGAAAGTAATCTCAAGGAGATCTCGGCGGCCACTCGATGGGGCCTCGTATGCCGATCCATTGATTCGGGAAATGTACCTGTATGTCCAAAAACTGTCGCACTGGAGCTACATAGTGCGGCGGTGCACCGTCTTGATGTAAATGAATGTAATTTTCATTATAATTAACGTCATTTTCTATTATTTGGGTAATTCATAGCACCATTTATGTTTTACATGTCCAAGTATGGTGTATCTGAAGTCACTTGAAATAGCATAAAAACCTTTGGTCGGCGCGTCCTTTGTAATTTCATGACGTATCATAGGCGTGCGGCATTTATTTAGAACGATAATAATAATGTTTTTATATCACAATAAATGGATTTTACTATCTTCTTATTTTTTTGATTTGGGATAAAAAATACTTATATTGGGAGTTTAATTTATGTTGACTGAAAGTTAAGAAATGGAAAAATTACAGAATTCCAACGTTTGACATAGGCAAATATTTACATAGCAGGTAGGTATATAAAAAGGTATATAAAGACTTACATTATAGGTATTTATATATCATCCTCGCCTTCGGAGCTGTCGCTAGAGTCATCTTGTAGAGGAATTACAACGGGATTTACAGGAGGCAAAACACAATATTCATTTTCTTTTTCAATAATATGCCTAGAACACTGCTTCCATAGGTCTGTGGCAGCAATATGAGATACTGCATCTCTTATTGTGGCAAATAGCGATTCACTTAATTGAGGGGTCTGATTATGTTTTCTTACTTTTTTTTTTAAAGCAGCCCAGACCAACTCAATCGGGTTAAATATGCAGTAATAGGGAGGTAGACGTAATACTTCATGGCCATTTTTCTGAAGCAGATTGTCAACAACATACTCTTTTTCAAATTTTTGTCTTTTAATAAGATCCAATAATATGGCTTTGGTTGATTTTTGTGGTATTTCCATTCCCTTATCCTTCATAAAATCAATAATGTCTTGTTTTTTTGTGCCTGTATTCGGAATTTTGTTTTTCTGTCGGGAATGGTATGGCGCATTGTCCATAATAATCACTGAATTTGGGGAAATGTTTGGTATTAACTGCTGCTCTATCCACTTTTCAAATAAGTCGGAGGTCATGTCCTCATGATAGTCGGCACATGATTCTTTGATATTTTTGGCAGATAACAGCAAGGCATTAGGTATAAATCCATTTTCACTGCCAGCATGGAGAATAATGATTCGTTTTCCACGGTTGCATGGTGCATTTAAAATGCACTTGTTGCTGTCGTCAACCCAGCCGTACTGCACAACATCATGGGTATCATACCACGTTTCATCCAGGTAAATCAGATTTCTTTTCTGCTCTCTATAGATTTTAACTTTGTGCAAAAATTCTTGGCGCAATTCAACGATTCGAGACGACTCCATAATCACCATTCTTTTATCTAATTTTTTGTATTGAAGAAAACACAGTTTTGTAATACAGTGCAGTGTGTCTAAGCATTTGTAATTATAAAAATCTTCAGGATAATCTTTTAATTTATCCCGTATCATTTCCAACGTGGGCACCAAATTTTCTTTATAAAATCCGTATATTATACGACGAATATCTTCCTGAAAACCCACGTCTATTCTTTTTAATTTTTGCCCTATGCGCTTTCTGTGGAAGGAATGGTTGACTACATCTCCCCTTTTTATAACCCGATAAATGGTAGACCGACTGATTTTTGTCAGGATACAAATTCTGTTTAAAATTTGGTTTTGCGAGGAATCTGGATTTTCGTTTTTCAGACAATCATACATATTTAGGATTACTCTTTGGGTCTGTTCCTCTAAATCTTTATGAAAGAATTCTGCCTGCACAGGTTCATCAACCATCTCCTTGTGGCTTGGAGCATTTTCCCAAGGTCTCCAAAGAGCCATATTTAGGACACACAAAAACAATCAACACAACAATTAAATCAACAAGTAAACTGAGTATTCAAAAGTCAAAAACACACAAACTAATAAAATCTATGAAAAAACACGGACAGACTAAAGAAAACACGTTTATTCACCGCTACACGGCACTGGCTAAACTGTTTCAATTTTCAGTAGCCACCTGCACTTGTTCCGAGCTCTGAAATACACGCTTTCTCATTGGCTATGTCCACGCATAGGCGTGCTTTACTCCACGTGGACCGGTGAAACTGCCTTTGATCTCTTATACGGGGGATATTTGCTGCGAAATTTGGCGATTTTTGCAGCAACAGAGCGTGTTAAATATAGATATATAAAACGCACCCGGTATTTCACAGTGTTTCAAGTGACTTCAGATAAAGTATACGCCTCGTCCGTCAAGTTTCCAGGAAAAAGGAAGGGCAATATGATTTGCGGATACGCCAGCCCACACATTTTTTTTTCAGGATATTGCGAGTGTACCTCTCGATACAAATGGGGTTTCGAGTCACTCCAATATCGACAATTATGTCTTTTTAGAGCACCATGTAAATAGAACGTACACTCATATTAGTAACTAATAAGAATATTAAATAACAGATTTACATTGTAGAATAAACGTTGGGACATTAATTCGCAAAACTCCAACCTTCCATCAAAATCGTCTTCATTAAGCTCATGAAGAAGTTTTATCTTGTACGGGTGAAATTTAATGTCTTTCAAAATTCTTTGTACTGTTGAGCGTGAAAAAGTCCAGTCCACGAGTGCTTTGGGTGTTGTCAAGTGCTACGTGACCCAAAACTGCTATTTCTGCGGCTTCATTTCTACTGGTCGATTTTTTCGATGGCGATTACGGCGAATAATCCACTGTCTTCAAATTTCCTTATCAACTAAGCCACATGCTTATTTTTAATGCCCCTATTTTGGTAATACATTTTTGTTATTTCTACCATTTTCTGAATTGTTTAATACTACACTACTAGGTAGGTAACTTAACAATTTGAAATGAAAGACAAAAGATTTTTTATGAAATATGATGACACTGACTGATGCTAAATGTCCTTGCTGGTATCCATAATTATTACCTTTTGCCGTGCATTCCATTATTATCAGTATTAAGTTGTCAGTCGAACTCTATTATAAAATCGAAAAACTTCACGACTGTAGAAAGGTATACACTTTATTATACAAAAGTTACTAAAAACTTGGAATATCTAAAAATTTAGAAAACCTAAAACGTAACGCAATATCTTATTTTTTGATCACCCTGTATTGCACGGCTATAGTCCCCTAGAAATCAAAATTGTCGTGGCCGAGCGTTTTTCCCAACATATACCAGGAAAGTCACAAATGGGGGTGCGACCTTTTCGTTGGGCAACCCTGTATATCAGCCTTTAGAAAAATCCAGTCACTAGGAGGTCAAACTACCTTGACAAAGAAGACAGCTGTCGAACGGTATTGGCCAAGCTCCCGTTAGTTACGCCTTCTAGTTCAGACGGAAGGGGATAATCTTCAGGAAGAGTTCCCCTGGTTACGTAAACGGGCTCTATTACCCGTTTCGGCAAAGGCATCTTGATTAGAGGTCCTTATTTTCCTTCTTCTTCTACTCACTCGTGGTATTCACGCCGATCTGCAACAATGAAAACGTCGTTATAGAAAGTCGCGATTAGAAACCTTATACGGCGATTTTCAATTTAATACGCTCTACAAGGACATTCTTTATATTGCGTTAGATCAAGGTCAATCCTAATGTTTACTCTGATCAACCAATTCGTATCTGCGATACAGACAAAGACTCATTTCTTGGCTAAATCGGGTGCGTATATTACGAATCTGATGTCAGGCGACTGGTCCTCCACGGCCGATCCATCTTTCTGGATAATTTTCGTCCAGCCAGTTTCTAACTATTCTCGAATAATGAGCTGGACAACCATCAAGCTGGAACCAGGCCAATCTTCTTAAATCTAACATAACATCATCCCACATATTTGCATGTTCAGCCTTTAAAAATTACAAGAAGGTCGCAGCATTTAACCTTGCAGGCAAAAGGTAGTGCCAAATAGTCGATTACGGTAGATACCAATCCACACGTTCACACTAAATTCATGCTGAAAAATTCTTTCCCGAACTGCATGCGGATTTTCATGCGACCAAATATGTTGATTATGAAAATTTACCACTCCACGTCTAGTGAAGCATGACTCATCGGTCCATAAAACGTTACTTAAAAACTCCCTATTATTATCAGTTCTATCAAGAATCCACTGACAAAATGTGATTCTTCATTCTCCGTCCCCTGGCTGTAGTCCTTGCACAGGTTGCAAATGGTAAGGACGTCTATGGTCATTTCTAAGAACACGGTGAACATGGCTTGCTGAAATTCCCAAGGCACCAGAAACTCTCCTAACACTTGTGGTCGGATCTCTATCAAACTCACGCAGAATCATACGGGTAAATCTGCGCTGACGAACATTTATGTTTTGATCCCTTTGGAGATTTCCAAAAGCATTTTCACTTATTTGGCGATGCACTCTTACAAATACTGAGCGAGTTGGATGTCGTCTGTTTGGAAATCTTCGTGCGTATTCTCTGGCTGCTTCTGCTGCGTTTCCATTTACAAAGCCATACACAAAATGAATATCCGCTAACTCTTGATTCGAGAATAAAAATGGCATTTTTATAAAACTTACAAAAAAAAAACAGGTAAAAGAAACTAAATTTCGTGCATTCACAATTGCAAAAAAACGTTTCAGGTTTCAACAGACAACAAAACTAACTGTCAACTAATTGACGTTTAACCTTATTCTGCTTTCAATTTCAAAAATATTTGCAGGCACAGCCTACTTCTAAAAATTATCGAGATACTGACTTTTTAACGTTATTTTATCATAAATAATTAAAAATGCATCGAACCTTAAAAATCGAAATATCTCAAAAACGGCTAACTATAACGAAAATTCACAAGAGAGCTTTTTTATGTTGAAAAGAAAATTTTTTCGGTCATTTTAATACACTACAGGTACAGTAGCGGCTACAGTAAAACTATGCCCATGGTTCGTTTTGTCGTACCAAAAAACCCTTGTATACCAATTTTTACTGTTATACATCAAATATTGTTCGAAATATTAAAAAAAAAACTATTTTAAAAAGTAAATTTAAACACCCTGTATTTCGGAAGCCACGCATTTTTCGACCCATGTTTATATAGACTTTATGCATTAATTTTAAAAGTTCTATCGAATCTTAAAGTTATGCAACAATAAACTGAAACACCCTGTATATTGGAATAAGGCTAGACGTTAGGCACAGAGAACTTTTTTGATCAAAATAATCTAGACTAGAAAGCTTAAAACATGACGTAAAGTAGATGATTATGTACGTCTAGTAGGTAGAACTACCGGGGTTGGAAGCATATAAATATACTGCCGCTAAAAGAATTGAGATACATCAGAAGGGAGTAAAAAATTATTGTGAAGTTTGAACTCTTAAAAGACAGCGAATATTCGCCTGTACCCTCCAAAACATAACAGGAAATGTTGAATCTGAATTTTATTATATTTATATACTAAACAAATTCCAAATATCCCATATTTTCAGTCAAGATGTTCCTCCCACGATACAACACATATTAACTTTTTTTAAACTCGATGAGGTTGTCAAACTTATCAAATAACCTCGAATGTAACATCTCCAGCACATAAATAACTTCATTATCGGAATACCGATATTTCGGCAATGAAAACGGTCATAGCCTCTGACGAACTTGTTTCAAAGTAAATAGAAGATACCGTGTACAAAAATTTCAGATAAAATCCTATTTACCTGATTCATGTTGATATAGTGTCGTAATCTATTTGGACGGTTTGTACTCATCCTTGCACAAATTTGTTGTGCAAATAACTTTTTGCGTCATCGGAAATAATAGGTGAACCTCGCGATACTTATCTCTTATCTAAGGAAGTACTGCAATATGCTCCAAGTACACGATGTTAACAAACACACACACTTGCATACAGGGCGCCCCATCCATGCGAGGGCGGAATATTGCTTCGAATCTCACACTTTTCAACAAAAGGCATCTCCCTCACACACACACGGTGTCCCAATAACCAGTGGACATACAGAGTGACTTCGAAGTTGAGTCATTTATTTTAACAGTGAGTAGATCTGATCAAAAGAAATGTTTTTTCCTTTACCATTTTTCTGGTAAAATTAAAGTAACAAAGTTATAGCCCTTTGGAAGTTTGAGTACCGCCCTGTCTCAATAATAATATTATGTGCTCGTGTTTGGCGACAACGGATATAATCCGCCGTATCGGTTCATCGCATCGGAAACAAAAAAGCGAAAGAATTTGGAACGATGTTTTTACAATTATTTTATTCATTTGTATACAGTCAGTGTCAGTGAAAAGTAGTGTCTGTTGCGTGGCTCAAACGAAATAAAAAATGGCACATGTTTATGCGGATCGGTTTCCCAATCTAGTGCAACCAACCCCTCGTGCCTTTGTTAATGTAGTACAACGGGCTCGTGAATCAGGTGACGGCATGCCGGTGCTCCAAGACCTCACGATCAAATACAGGTCCGCACTGAAATACTTGTCGGGAGGATACTTTATAAAACAAGGTAAAAAATATTTTTAATTTTTATTTTATTTTTACACACATATTTTGGTTTATCTTCCTTCTACAATCATTATCTGAAAATTAATGACTCAACTTCAAAGTCACCCTGTATAAGTGCCAGGGCCGTATCGTCAGTCGTTCCTATAATAGTCTTCTCTCTCCTTCAGAAAGGCTGAAGTATTTTTATATTTCTAATGTTTTTGTTTTTAATCTTAAGAAATTTCGGCTGATAACACAGATGATTCAAATTTATAAATACTTCGAAGTTGAGTCATTTATTTTAACAGTGAGTAGATCTGATCAAAAGAAATGTTTTTTCCTTCACCATTTTTCTGGTAAAATTAAAGTAACAAAAGTTATAGCCCTTTGGAAGTTTGAGTACCGCCCTGTCTCAATAATATATTATGTGCTCGTGTTTGGCGACAACGGATATAATTCGCCTTATCGGTTCATCGCATCGGAAACAAAAAAGCGAAAGAATTTGGAACGATGTTTTTACAATTATTTCATTCAGTTGTATACAGCCAGTGTCAGTCGGTAGTGGATAGTGGTGTCTGTTGCGTGGCTCAAACGAAATAAAAAATCGCACATGTTTATGCGAATCGGTTTCCCAATCGAGTGCAACCAACCCCTCGTGCCTTTTTTAATGTAGTACAACGGGTTCGTGAATCATTTGACTTAAGACCTCACATATGGACGGCATGCCGGTGCTCCAAGACCTCACGATCAAATACAGGTCCGCACTGAAATACTTGTCGGGAGGATACTTTATAAAACAAGGTAAAATTTTTTTTTTAATTTTTTTTTTATTTTTACACACATATTTTGGTTTATCTTCCTTCTACAATCATTATCTGAAAATTAATGACTCAACTTCAAAGTATAACCTCAAAATAGAGCGCTGACGCGGAACAGTAGAAATCTAGAAACTACCTTTATGAAGGAGAGAAAAGACTATGAAAATGGCCTTGATTTTCATAGTTTTCTACTTTTCCGTGTCAGCGCTCTATTTTGAGGTTATGTCACAAATATCTATTTGCATCAAATTGTTCATGATTTTGATTTATACCATGTTTTATCAGCCTGAAATTTGGTACAATTAAAAAAAATCTAGAAATTGTTGAAGGAGAGAAAAAACTATCGCCTTCTTGATTTTTCGTAGGACGAGTCCTCTGCTCTTCAATGCGGTACCCAGAGAGAACAAAGTTTCCTTACGTGTAAATGGTCATGCAGAATTGAATGAATTGCTGGTGTATGAAGGTGTGCGGTCTCCTCTATCTATCTGGTATGTCACTCTCCGGTCTTCGTCAAGCATCTTCCTGACAACAGTAATGTTTTCCTCTGTTACTGACGTTCGCGGCCTTCCTTTCCTCTCAGCGTCCTCCAGAGTGAAATTGCACCTGAATATACTCGTACGATGAGGGCAATAATTCTTTAATGAAAAATCATTTCCTCTAAGCACTGGTCTAAACTTAAACCACGCGTACAGTTATACCGTAAAACTGCCTTTATCTCACTACGTAACCACGATGCCATAGTTCGCAGTTTACACTGTCAATACGAATGAACAACTAAATCAACAGACGTGCTGCTGGCGCCTCCTATGCACTCATGGACATGTCTCAACATGCATTAACACGCAGCCTCTTGCGTGCGTTTGTTAAGTCATATTCCAAAACTTTTATGTTTTTTTGCGCTGCAGTACGGATAGATTAGTCAGCCGAACCGGCGGGCGGTGAGCTTAGAAAGCTGGAGTACCCCGATTGATATCATTTCTTTGTCATTCTAAGTTTTAAAGGCAAATGTATGAGTACGGGGAAATCTATGATGTGTAAAATATGGCTAATGGGTGCATATAATTACGGGGGTTGGGAGCGTATACAGGGTGTTTCAGTTTATTGTTGCATAACTTTAAGATTCGATAGAACTTTTAAAATTAATGCATGAAGTCTATATAAACATGGGTCGAAAAATGCGTGGCTTCCGAACTACAGGGTGTTTAAATTT